ACTGAGTAGTTGCCCTACGTATGGCCTCCGATGACCACCTTCCCCTGGCATCACAGCACCACCATTTGTCAGGCACCTGCCATGGGCCTGATGTTGTGTTGGGAAGGGGTTTGCAAAGACACGTCCCCTTCAGCAGTTTATGGTCTGGTGCAGCACATGTTAAATGTTTTGATGACTGTATGTACAGAGGAGGGAGTGACTGTTCCTGGGAGTGTGATGGAGGAGGTGACATTTGATCTGGGTTCTGATGGAGGAATAGGAGCTTTCCTGAAAGAGAAGGTTGGGAGGCTCTTCTGGCAGTGGAACCACAAGTGCCAAGGGACGGAGGCCTGAGAGAGCATGGAGTGGGCAGGGAGTGAGTGCTTCTAGGTGCCTAGAGCACAGGGTGTATTGCACTGAGTGTGGAGACCATGGTGATGATGATGATGACGACGACGATGACGATGATACTAGTAATGTTAGTTAAGACTTTTGGGGAGCTCAACTGTGTACCAGAGACTAGTTTAAGAAGTTTACATGGATTAACCCAGTAAAGTCCCATAGCAACCCTATGAGTAGATGCTCTAATTATTCCCATTTTATAGATGATGAAACTGAGGTCCAGAGAGGTTAAGAGACAACCACAAGGCTTATAATTGACAGGGCTGGATCTTGACCTAGGCAGCCAGCTCCAGTGCCTGTGTCCTTAGCAAGGATGGCTGTGGCTGAGTCTCAAAGAAACAGACTTGTGTGGATTCTGCAGGAACGGGTCACTGATGCAGGAAGGAAGCAGAAGTTGACATGCGTTACAGATTTGTCATCTCCGGTGTACACACGTGTGTGCATGTGCATGTATGTGCATGTGTACCCCAATGCAATTATACTGGTTAGTACAGCAGACGGTGCTTCTGGAATCTGCCCTGGGCTTGGCTTCCTGGAAATGTTCTGTCTCGGGAGCATCTGTGTGAGCCACTCTGCTCAGCGCACATGAGGAAGCCTTGCTGTCCTACTATCAGGCAGCTCCATCTGACCAGGAGGTAAGGGAATGGGCCTGAGACCCAGCTTCCCAGAACACTTCATAGTGAGAAAGACACACAGGAGCTCACATGCCTTCGACTGCCCTTTCCTTGGGAACAGTCTCTATTCCTACCTTGGAGACTAAGAGAGAGTGGCCGGACACAGTGGATGGCCTACACCGCGAGTGAGGGATTCGGGATTAAAACCCAGTGGCCCACATTTCCAGGGTGGCTCCCATTCCCTCAGTCTCCTTAGATCTCTCTGGAAACCCTCCAAGAAATCCCCAGGCAACCCCAGATATTCTCTCAGCCCAGCGTGCCCCTCACCCTCTTATCAGCTGGGGGGCAAGACTGGAAATCCCTGGGTGGAATCAGAAGCTCGAGACCCCCACAGATGCTGGGGATGGGGCTTGAAGGTAGAGTCACCTCTGGTCCCAGAAGGGCTCCAGCTGGCCCAGTGCAGACCAGCCCTGCTCAGGGACACGAGTGGGGCACATGCTTCTCCCAAGGGCAAGCGGTTCTCAGAGGACGGGAGCAGATTTGACTTGTTCTCAAAGTGGCGCTCCATCGTGCGACCCCTTACAGGTGCCTCCAAACCCTGCGAGCGGGCTTGGGCAGCTGCTGAGAGAGGACGCCTAGAAAGGCACCCTTAGTATCCAAAAGCTTTACCCTCCGACTTCAGTTTGCAAAGGGACTTGGACCTACAGAATCTTTAAAACTGGAGAGGTCGAGAGAGGCCATCTAGCCCACCCTCCTCGTTTAACATTTGGGAAGCTGAAGCACAGAGAAGCAAGTGAGCTGTTCAAAGTCACACAGCCAGGAAGGCTCCTCTTTCTGCCGCACTGTGCCTGCAGCTGAGGCGGCAGCACAGCATCTACAGGATGTGGTTCAAACGCCAAGCCCTGCCCAGGTTACCCCCACAGCCCTTCCTCCCCTCCCCCACACCTGACCATCAATAACCACGGATGTCTAGATCCAATGTCTCGAAGAAAGAGCATCTTTACTACAACAGGAAAGCATGAGGAAGTATTGAGCCCTGCCTTTAAATACCAGCCTTCTTTTAAACAAGCACCGGGCGCTAAGATTCAATTAGGGCTCTTGCTTTCTGTCTCTTTGGCATTAACCTCCCTGGTCATTTTCCTTCTTAACTTCAGTTGTGAGCTCCTTTCAATCCAAAGCCTTTCCGGTGACTCGGACCGCAGCTGCTTTTTCTGGCAAATCCCCGACTGACAGCACCCCAGCACTTAGGAAAGGCACGTGTGCCTTCGCCTCTCAGCTCCCATTAAGTCGAAGACCTGTGTCTTTCTCTTCAGCCGCCAACTCCCAAGCACTTCTTCCCCCGCCTTTCCCCGCCCCC